AACCAATGGAAATGTTCAGATCTTAATAATTCTGCAACGCCACCAAACTCTCCAGACATAACGCTGGCCCCGTCAGCTCCCAATGAAACAACTATAGATCCTTCTGAACTTTGAATGATGTTAGCAACTATTTCCTTTGTAACGTTCATGATTGTTCTGGCATCGAATGATTCCAAATGCCTGAGGTCATAAAAACGTTCAACTACCTTACGAGCGAAGTATCTAACAGCCAGGGCAAACTCTTCTCTTTTTGCTGTGTCTTTGCTTTCGTCAATAAGAGCTGAAAACATCCCAGCATCCTTTATTTGGGAGCAAATGACCTTACGCACGCTGTCTGCTATAATCTCGATGAAGCCATTTACACTTGTTTTACTTGTGTAATCTGTACTCTTAGACTTCGTAACTTTATTGTGCAATTCTCTAAATGTGGGATTCATTTCTAACTGCAGTTTAATAAATGTTATCCACTTTCCCGGGTTCTTAGACTCATCAGACTCATCATCTCCGAGCATTGCAAGCTCGTTGGTTGTAAACCAGAGTACATACTTGAGGAGATGTCTAAGATACTCTCTGTTTTCACTTGCAACCGTGGCTCTATCAGGACACAGCCTTTGGATAATGTTTATCTCAGAACCCTCTTGAACTTTTTGCCAGGTCATCCAATTTGAATAGCTGTTTTTATGAAGTTCTGATCGTTCGTGCTGAAGAAATCCTTTGTCCTTATCAAGAGCATTAGCCCAGTTCCTGTATCCAGTTGTTGTGAAAGCTGATGCACGCGCTGAATTTGCTTTGTTAGCAGTGAAATTTCGACAACATAGATATTAGACGTAAACAGCAAATCATAATGCCAAACCCAATAGAGACGTTAAAGGCACAGTACCACCTGCTGAGCGATGTGATTTAGTAGGTCAAAACTTGAAAAAGTTCACAAACTTTTTCAAGTTTATTGATTTTGCACAAGGAGTGGGTCTCATTGAAATATATAGTTAATATCGTTTTAAATTGCACTAAATCTTTAATTATTACAATTTCCAAGCAAATTTACCGACCTTTGCTCTTTTTGATATCAAATTACACTTACAAATTTACAGTTACATGTATCGCAACAATACCGGTAATTTGTTCGACCACATTTCGCTCTTGGTTTTGACAGTATTTAGGAATTATTCCTAGTTAGCTATTTTGCATTCGGACCAGGAAGGAAAAGTAAGTACTTTACGTATATCGCCAGAGCGTTTTGAAAGCCATTGGTTGTCAGATACGTCACAAAACTCGTGTATAGTGTCATCACACTCTATCCATTTTGCCATCTTCGAATGCCGAAGCGTTGTTTATCGCGCGTTATATCACATCGCTCAATAGGTGGTATTGTGCCTTTAAGAAGTAAGATTTAAGAAGCTAGAATACCTGTGGGAAGTAAGGATGTTGAAGACTCTGGTTGTTTTTTAGGATCGTCTCTACCAGTAAGCACACTAATACCAGATGCTATTGCCATGTTTCGAGTGTATGATCTCTAGTTCATCATTACCTTTCAAAGTATGAATGTTTTGTGTATAACATTTAACAATTAAGATACATCACTATGTCAGCTATATAGAATAATTTCAACAATAACCCGTGACCCGTTGGCTAAGACGCTCAGTTACGTGCAAAGTTGCAAAGAATTGTTACTGACCTGTCTCGTAATTGTGTTCCGAGTCTGAACAGTCTGATGATTGCAACATTTGTTTCTCAAGCTCAGCTTCACCTTCATTTCTCTCACTTTCAACTGTACCAACTGGAAACAACGGATAACATTCACTGAAATCAAAGTTCAGTGTACAAAATTGTCTTCTTGTCTGTAATACTATTCCTGTCACATAGTTGCCCAACTTGCCTTCCGTGTCTTGCAACATTTTTTGTATTGGGCCTTCAGGCTCAGCTGCACCCTCATTTTCCTCACTTTCAACTGCATTTACTGAAAACAAATTTATACAAAATTAAATTAAATTTTAAATTTTTTTCATTTAAATTTTATATAATTGATTAAATTTTTGTCTAAACTTGTAAAATTATCTTTTTTGAAATGCCAAAAACATATGTAACTAACCTGTGTTATCATTCTTTTCCAATTCCGTCTCTAAACAGGCTGCTGATACTTCGATTTGCTTCGCTTTTTTCTTCAAGAAAGCGCCCAAGAGTACTTTGTTTTCTCTTTTTCTCCATTGTACATTCCGTACAATGGTACAAGAACGTAAACGCTAGAGCGTAACCGTAAGCGCTAGAGCGTAACACGTAAGCGCTAGAGCGTAACGCGTAAGCGCTAGAGTGTAACATAACTGGTACACAGGCGTTGAGAACATTATAAGCGCCAGTGAGTGACACTAGCGTGTAAAGAACGATACGAATTGTTTTTCTCTAAAGAGAGCGTCCAAACAAAGCTATGACCTTATTTTTTTACCATTTACTTTTTGTTTGGGGGGGTGCACATTTTTCTAGGGGGGGTGCAAAAGTTTCTAGGGGGGGTGCAAAAAAATCTAGGGGGGGTGCGCACCCCCCCGCACCCCCCCAGAAAATCCGTCCTTGCTTCTCATTAAAAGCAGCCCAAGCTGCCACCATTTGTTGAGAGGTTTGGCACATATGTGCTATTATCCATGCCATATTTTTCATTTTTGACTCAACCTCGTTATTGCTTTCATTAAACCACTTTTCTATTTCTAGGTCAGGAGGAAGGTGACTAACTGGCTTTGGCCTTTCACCAACTGGCATGCTGGCATGATCTAACTTATGGAATTGATCTAAGCTATCTCTTGTTATTGTTTTTGCCCTGTTGATGTGCTTAATATCTATGTCAGACCTCTTTGCTAGAGCATCATTTGCATGCAATGAAATGTGTTTTTCCATATATATATATATATATATATGTATACATATATATATATGTATACATATATATATATATATGTATACATATATATATATATATATATATATATATATATATATATATACATATATATATATATATATATACATATATATATACATATATGTATACATATA